TCGATGAAAATGGTGACCGTACACCTTCCTGAGTGATATAAAGTTTCAAAATTTCAGGGGAGAGATTTTGTGGATAGCCAAAGTCCATAATCTCTGCAATTCAAAACCAACTATCATTCCTTGGCGTTACCACAAAATGAAATAACAAACAACTAATGCAACTAAATGAGAGATAATAAAGTGATTTGACCAAGATCATATCAGGCTTACTTACCGTCCAACAATTCATAAATCAGAACAAAGTTATTTCTAATAGCATCTTCATCAAAAGCTCCACCAAAGTATGATTTGAACAAAGCAACAGCCTGAAAACGTAAATCAAAACCAGTAGTAACTAAGTCAGCATATAGAATCAAATCTAAATCTCTTGAACATTTCAACAAGAACCAAAACTGATTTTGGAAAATGAAAGTGAAACTAACAACAAAGTTTACCTCAACAACGAATTTGAATCCACAAGCAACATTAGCATTGCTACTGACAACAATGACAATGTAGACATTGCTGATTCGCATATAAACAAAGGAGCAGCCACCAATCTGACGCACAGGACAATTCCCTAACTCTTTTGTCTGCATTATATGCGTACGAAATGCATCCACCATGTTTCCCCTAAGAATCAAAATATCTCGAAATCAAATCAAATCCAAAATCTCAAATCCTACCAGCTAAAATCCTAAACGAAGTGGACTAACACACAGCTGAAAATGAAACCGAAATCGAGAATTTAACAGATCGACGGCGAAAAAGGAGAAGCTCTCTTCTTACCCGACGTCATCACGGTAGGTGCGATTTATGAGTACATCGCCACGGAGATTCAGAAAGTATATGGCGGAAGCAGCCACCGGCATCTTCGATCTGAGAAAATCGAAACGCAGATCGGATAATTAGACGATCTGGTTTCAGGAGATTTGAGATTTGAGGTTCGACGAGATCTCGACGACGGAGCAAAGGAAGAAGACGACGACGAAGAAGTTGAACAATTGAAATGCGATATTTTTTATTTTCTTTTTATCAAAAAATAGAAACAAAATTGAATTCAGTCGTCATTTTGGAATGGGCCGAGCATTATAAATGGGCCTGTCTTATTCGCTTCTGGGCCGTTGCGTCTTAAATGTTTTTTATTCTCCCACAAAATGAGATTTCTTCAATTACGTTGTTGAAATTTCTCTACATGTAAAATTGGTAAAGATAATATTCGTTTCACGTTGATGGCAATAAAAGCAATCACGATTTAGGGCTTAAATGCTATATTAGTTGAATCTACATATACATTTTTATAGAGTTTTTTTGCATTAATTCATTTGGATCCGGGTTTTACCCGGGTTTAACTCTATCCGGATCTTGGATAAGGAATTTTAGGAATGTTGTCTTAATTTCAAACTGATAAATGAAGCCATGTTGTCTTTAATTCATCTACTTATTCCGTTTAATGTTTCTTTAATTACAAAGAAGTTACCTATTTTAATGGTAAATAATCTTTCATATTAATGACCCTAATAAATAGCCAATTTTAATGGAAAATCGTTTTTCATATTTATGCTCATAATAAATGTCCAGATTTTAACAATAAATATATTATGAAATTATAAGAAAAATGTATTTATTTTTAATAGTATATATATATATATATATTATGTTAATAAATTTGTGTAAATACTCCAATAATAAGCTACGTCATTTTTCTTTTACAATAACAGATTAAATATAGGCAATTCCCCATTTAAATTGTAATAAATTTAAAATCAAAATAACAATTAATATATACATTCATAAGGAAATCATAATAAAATATGTTTATTTGAAGATTATATATCCTAATCTTCACATAATCCGTAATTATGTTTTTGATATATTTGAATATCTAATATTAAATTTCTAAAGGATTCTCAAAATATTTTTTATAATAAATATTGTTTTTACGAATAATATTTTGTTTTGTTATAAAAAGTAATATTTGTTATTTTTCTAAATTATTTTTGTAATTAAATTACATAAATATTAATAATAATTTGTCTACACCATCAAATGAAAATAGTTAGTTATATAATCTTTTATTTAATATTACGTAATATATATATATATATATATATATATATATATTTTGGTAATATTTTATGATGTGGGTGAACAAATTATTTTCGTATTTATGTAAACAAAACAATAAAATCTAAATTAGTTTAAAATTTGAGATACTATAATCCCAAAAATAAAACTAATTGGAAACTAATCGCAACAATCATTCTACATAAATGGCATATTCTTTACAACATTACTAAATCGCATTTACTGCATTATTCGTTTCCAATTATGATTACAAATCTTTGATTAATTTAATGGTATTAAACTCATATCTACATATACATTTTTACAGGTTTTTTTTGCTTTTAATCATTTGGATCCGGGTTTTACCCGGTTTAAATCTATTCGGATCTAGAATAAGAGATTTAAGGAATATTGTAATAAAAACGACATTTAAGACTAAATTAAACATACAATTCGTTTTAATCTTATTTCCTTAACTACTTCCCACATTAATTGGTTCTATTCCTTTTTATCAATAGTAGCATTAAAGATTTTCCGTTTACGAATCTTGCAAAAATCTCTGCTTAGTCCACGATTAGTTTCTAAAATAAAATCTCCGAGATATTTGATAGCATTTAATTAATACCAAATTATCATTTAATTCTACATATCTCTAACCAAAAAAACGTCATTAATATAGATAATTACACATATATTTATGTTTCCTTATTCCTTAACTTCTTCCCATATAAATAGGCTATATTACTCTTTACCTCGAGATGATTTTCGAATATTTATGCCATCTTAACTAATTACATCCATACCATATATCATCTATATTCTCTTTATATTATGCAATAAAATATTTTTAAAACATAATTATGGCTAATTAGATTTTTTCCATTATATGGTTCTCTTCTCTAATTGAATCCATAATTCCCGCCCAAGAAAATCTCAACGATGATACCATAATTATATACTTTTCGATATTTTTCTTAACATTTGATTTTAAGAAACAAAGTTATGACTCTAATTATTTTTTTAATTCGGTTTAATGTGATTTCCTAAACTAATTACCACATTAATCGGCTATATTCCTTTTAAATGGTTGCTTAGCTTTTTTTTAAGATTCTCTGCAAAACCAAATCATTTACAATCTTTTTCAAATAAATTTTGTTATATAACTATTTCCTAATCTTTCCTTAAACATATCCTAAACTTTCGTTGTATATAATATCTTTGATTTTCTACTTTCTCTCCAAGATATTATCAAACTACCTTAACAATAAACTTAGATGCCTACCTACCCTATAAATACCACACTTTTACTCGACTAGAAGACTCATCAAACAAATACCTCTTCTTACCCATTCCAATCTTTATTTGTTATATGAACTTTCATTTTTCTGATTCATGAATTTAATAAACATTTGATGTCTTGCGCAGATAATCCTATACAAGATGAGCAACCCATTGATGATTGCCATTATCAAGAGCATATGCTTTAAATTTACGTCAGATTCTTTCATATGGTTAGTTTTTTTTATTCACCCTATTTTTTCTAGGTAAATCTTCATGTTTAATGATAATCTTAATATATATATATATATATATATATATATATATATATATATATATATATATATATATAAGATAACTACAGTTTGATAGCATTGATTTTTAAAAAACTTAAAAGAAAAAATAAAAAACGAAAATACAAACTATAAAAAAGTCTAACTTTATTAAACGTTTTAATTATTTATAATATTATAACTTTTATGAAGTTTCAAATATTATAAATATTTGAATTTTATAAGAATTTATAAGTAGTTTAAACATTATAAATATTTATAAAAGATATTAATACGAGACGGTATACTACGGGTGAAATCCTAGATATAACAATCAAAATACAATTATGAAGTTTGGGTCGTATTAAAACTTTTATGAAGTTTCAAATATTAGAAATATTTGAACTTTATAAAAAAAATTACAAAAATGATGTTTAATTTCACGGGACGGGGTTATATAGTGGGACGGATTTAGATCGATATTAATACGGGATGGTATATTACAGGTGAAATCCTAGAATTAGCGATCAAAATACAATTATACAATCTTAAACACTAAATAAAACAAATACAACTTAAATTTTGATTTTTTAGTTATAAAATATTGATATGCGGTTTACCATATATCTATAGATCATTCTAAAAAAATCATTTTTTTATTTAGGGAAAATATAGACCCGCGGTGTACCGCGGGTTAATATCTAGTACTGTAATAGTGGAATAGTCTAATGATCAACTAATGAAAAAAAAAAACTAAATTGCATAAAATTTATGCGAAAAACGTTTTGATTTTCTAGTTATAGTTTTAGTACGTCCGTAATATATATAGCTAATTCACTTTTTGAAAACTCAAAACCGTAAAATTTTGATGAGTGATCAAAAGTAAATTCTTTTTTAGCGAAATCTTGTTATAATGTGGAGATAAAAATATGGTATATACCGTATATTTCAGTTGTTAGAAACTAATATATATGGTTGCTAGAGTCTAACCAATCATTCACTTAACTTTTGTTACCTACATTATATTATTTATTATTTAATCGTAGTTATTTTTAAAAAATTTATTGTTTAATGATATTTACAACCAAAATTTTATAGCAAATAATCTACAGCTACGATAACCAATCTTACAAAACAATGACAAACTTTTGATTAGATTAGTCATTTCATTTGAATTTGCTTGTGTGTTTTCTTTTTAAATTAATCACCACAATGTAATAAAAGTTCTTAATTGTCAATTACTAACATCAACACGGATCTTAACGTTTTAAAAAAATGTTTCCAACTTTTTATTTTCGAATGCTCTCTGTCTCTGATGTGTAATAATCGCAAAAGTGATTTCTTTTTTTTTTTTCATGAGAGAAAAAAATAATAAAAATGTGGAATATAATTTATATAGCCACGCCGTTAAATGATAAAAAGAAGATCTTGCTCGATCCGTCTTTGATCCAAAAAAATTTCATCTTTTTTATAACTTGTTGCAGAAGAAGAAGATTAACACAGTGTTCACGAGGGATAGATTAAGGACAGAGATTTTCTGGGTTTTAACTATAGGGAAATGAATATTGTTGGATTAAGAAGCGATCGGAGAAAGTAGAAATCGGGAGAGGAAAGGGATATTCGAAACCCTAGATCATCTATTTGAGATCAAAAAGCTGTTAAATTTGAGGGCTTTAGATCGAATTTGATATCTGGGGTTAATGGGTTTTTTGAAGAAGTTAACGGGTATACTTGGGTTTGGGCATAACGATGGTGGTGGTGGCCATGGAGCTGTAAGAGAAGAAGATGGTGATGGTGGAGATAACACTGGAACAGTTTCTGGTGATGGAGATAAACGCCGGGAAGAGAATCAGACGAGGTTCCGTGAAACTGGACTTCCAAGGAAAGGTTTTGGTGTACCGGTTCAAGTTGCTGTTGAACGGTCTAATCCTGGTCCTGTTCTTCAGCCTTGTGCTGCTTCAGATGGTGGTATTCAGGTTAGTCTTCCTTTTTGATTGATGATTGGTTATATTGGTGTGTGGAAGTCTAGGGCTTGATCCAATTCATAAGAATTATATGAATTGCTACTTGTTAGATAACGAGGTTTGGTTAACTTTTATGAAGAGGTGTAATGTGGTATCTCATACTTGTTCTGTAGCATGATTGTTGATTCTTGTCTTTGGTTTGGATCACATTAAGTTGGAATATAAATTGGTTTGTGAGTTTGTGAAAATTTCAGTCGTCTTTGTGGCCTACAGCTTCACATTGATGAACATCATTTCCTGTTCTACACCAGTGCGTTGCTTTGTTTTCGCTTTAATATGGCTTTGATATGTTTGTGTTTCATAAGTAGTACTTTATATGATTCAGTAGATGACTTTACGTTTGTCATTTCTGTATGGTTTTTCTCAGTTCTCTGAATGATCTTATAGAACTAGATGCCTTTGTAACTGTTAGCTCTCTTTTTACTCTGTACATTCATCTTTGCATGTGAAAGTGATGTATAGTTCTTAAAGATAATGCCAAGTCAGGAATATATATTTTAGCTTGTTGTATGATTAGTGGCGGCAGAAGAAAGTTCGTAGAAGCAAGTAGTTTCATTCTTATGTCTTGATGGTTGTGTATTAATCAGAACTCATGAGGCTAAAATAAATGCTTTAAAGAATCTTGATTCGTTATATTGGTAGAGAAAGACGATAGTAAGCGAGCAGATTTAGATTGCCAAGATTATTCAATGGTCTTTGTGTGATTATGTGTATCTGTTCATTGAGTTCTACTTGATGGCATTGACTCAACTTAGTCTGAACCGAGAATTTTACTATTGATCCTCTTATTTGGATCAGGGACTACGTTGGTACTCAATGCGGCTTAAGATTGATGAAGACGGAGATGTTGCAGATGAGTTCTTGGAAGATCATAACTGTAAGACTTTACCAAGAAAGTGCAAAACAAAAGCTGCAAAAGTGAGAGGTTTAGTGATATCTTCTGATGGGAAACTTCAGCCACTAATGCATTGAACAATGAGCACCAAAGAGAAAGATTTGCTGATTAGTGTGATTGAATCAGAGAAAGGTTAGAACTTATGTTTCATTAATTTCGAGATCAATCCATTAGATTCCTGATTTGATTCTTGAGCACTTAAAATGTTATTTAACTGTGAATTCAGTTTTTGAAAATAGACAGTGATTCTCTTTGGGATTATCTAAAAACATTTGTGCAATTATTGAAATTGTGTATTACTACCAAGTTCTTTGTGTGCACACATATGATCTTATCTTATACAAAACTATATAAATGTGATGTCTATATAAGTTGCACAAGGCTAACAAAGTATAAATTTGTATGCAACAGAAAAAGGTGAAATGGAAAATAGCAAGTTTAAAAAGAAAGTTCAAAAAGTATTGATTTCAGAATATATAAAAACACAATTTGAGCTTCACCAATTGAAAAAGTATACAATGGTTCTAGTTGGTGATCACATTTAAACAAGGGAAATAAAAGACTTTTTAGCATTTATGAAGAAGGTTATTAGATAGAAGGACGGATTATAATCTTCTCCCAAAAAAATTGTAACCATAGTTTTATTCTTCCTTTTAAAAACTACTAGCCCAACCCCTTCAAGCTGTAAATGGATGGCATAGATGAATGATTGGAAAATTTGAGTTGAACAAAAAAAAATTGAACATCAATTGATCTGCGAAATAGTAGATGAATGGGTTGCAATTTTTCTTTATAATTTGTTCATTTTTCCTACTTTTTTGGTTGAATAGATTAAATCAAATTTTGAACTTATTCATCTCAAATAGTAATGAGATAAATGATCATTTAACTCTTTCAACTTCTTATTTTGCCTTGTTACATCTTCGAAGTGCATAATTCGAACTGTTTATTGCATCCGTTCGTTTCAACCGTCAACTTCTTCAATATCTTTTCAATCGTCTCCAACTACCCCAAATTGTATCCTCAATCAAACGATTCAAAAACTATTTTACGCTTTAAAACAAAAAATTTCTTAAATTTGAAAGAAATACTTATTTGTCACAAATCTATCCCCAAACTCCGCCGGTGTAATAGAAAACAATTTTGAGAACAATTTACATGCAACGTGTCAACGTTTTAATCGTATGAAACAAAAAAAAGTCCACTTTTGTTTAGAATAATAATTTGTTTTGGACTTATATATGCAATAATGCAAACATACATTTTTTTTTTGTCAAACTATATGCAAACATACATATCAACTAAATTACAAGACTATATATAATTTGCCGAACGTCATGAAAAACTTTCGTATATTGTTGTAATATTATGTTAGTCAATCGCAAATTAACATCGGTATCTATGTGATTGAAATTTTAAAAATAAAAATAGTTTTAAGGCCAAGGTCGAAGGATTTAGGAAAAACTAAAATATCTACGAGGAAACCATATCATTAGTGGCATAAATTTTATATTGGGATTGTCCTAATCGCCGTCATTAAATATTTTATTATTGAATGATTACCTATATAAGTATTTACTAGTAATTGTGTGATTATTTTTGTCAATTGTGTAATTGTGTGATTATTACGTCGATGAGTCATAGGTAGATCAATTTATTTAACAATTTTGATATTATTTTCTTTCTTTTTCGGTCTTCTGCTGTCACCAGGTTGTGGACAAATAGTAATATTTCAACCTAACACGACAAATTATAAGTCTTAGTCGTGTTGATAACAAATTCTCACCCACGTAATCAAATTTATTTTCACTTGTGTATAATAAAGCTTTTTCAATGAATTAGGTTAAAAACCGACAACGAAACTTGAAAAATCCAACTCATTTCATTTGTCTGATACTTGAAATCGCTTATAATCTTTGGCTGTATTAGGACTCTAGCGTCATTATAATTTTAAAGAGAGCTAGTTATGTATCTTGCCTACATTCAGATGCAGATTTGTTAATATTCTGTATCAGAGAAAACATTTTTATTTAGCATAAGAAGATACCTGATTATATTAGAATGTTCCACATTGCTTGGGATTAAGATTTAAGTTATCGAATAATGCTAAAATGGTCTCAAGGCAATGAAATCAAGCTAGGTGCAATTCCCCAAGAAAAGATCATATTCTCAAACAGATTTTGACTCAATAAAAGACACAATTTTTGACTCGATAAAAACGAACTGACTGACTCAAACGAAAACATCAAAAGAAACAACCAAAGCAAACTCGATTAGTAGACAAATGACAACCTCCCCCCGACTTGCTTCACACCGACTCGGTGTGAAAACAATTCGAAGAAATGATGCCATACACACTCAAAAGAAAAAAAAAATGAAAATGCGAAAAAGAAAAAGAGAAAACTTACTTGGGATACATTATGGGTTGCCTCCCACCAAGCGCTTGTTTTAGGTCGTAAGCTTGACCGCTCAACACAAAATATTAATCATAAGAATCAAAAGGTTGTGCCAGTGGACCTTTTGTCCTTCTCCTGTTAGTGAAAGAAATGAGATGTGCCAAGTAACACACAATTATCCATGGTAAAGAGATAAAATTCACATCAAGAAAAATTACTACAAATGTAGCATATACTTTGAAATATTCCTTGATGGTTGAATGCTCATGAGGATGAAATGCATTTGGAGGAAAAATAAAGTCAATTTCCTGGTTACACGAGGGTTGAACAAAATAATCAACTTCATCGCCATTAATCTCGTATAGCACAATATCTCCATCCATATAATCAACCTCAGGATCTTCATTCTCATGCAAAATCTTATCAATATCAAGCACAACTCCTAGGAAAGATTCATCAAGAAGAGATCTAGATATTTCAGGCATTGAAAACTTAAACTTGAGATCATGAACATTCAAAGCACAATGATATTCAATATCAAAACATATTTCATGGTAATCCCTAGCAAGTTTTGCTGCTCTTAAAGTATCTAGTCGTTGAGACTCACATATCAAATCAAAACATTCTTCAATGATCATGGAAGTATGCAAACTAGAAGTCACATATTCAATGCATGACATTTGAATATCCTCAACATCATGAATTTCAAGGGTTGAAACGCATGTACCTTCTAGTTCGCTTGGTGGAACCCAATATATTACCTTTTCAAGCGCATGAGCTTCTTGTTCTTCATAGAATGTGACTTCTCTTCCTTCACATGCTGCCCGGTGTGATAAGAGATTCAACCGGATCAAAATCGCTAAATCACTCCTTACCAATGTTGGATGTTCGTTGTGAAGTTCATCCAACTTCACTTTTTGTTCCGGTGTAAGAACTCTCTCATCAAGCGGTGGCTCCACATATGGTTCATCATCTTCTTCTTGCGGCCAATCATTGTATTCCATGGCATAAAAAAAAACAAATGAAAGTTAGTAATAAATAAAAATTCTCTAGACTAAAAACTAATCCTAAATCCTTAGGTAACGCAATTGGTCCCCGGCAACGGCGCCAACTTGATTGCTCGAGTAATTACCCGATACACTTAACCGCAAGGTAGTATATACGGGGTCGATCCACAAGAACCAATGGTACACTAAAGACTTCCGAGACTCGTTCTTAGCTAAAGCGGAAAGATTGTTTTGTTTTGGGTTTTCAGAATTGTAAATAAAAATGCAATTAAAATAGACGATTTATCTTCAAGATTTAAAGACATTGGGCGTTAGGATATTTCAGAGATCAACGAATAATGGAAACATGAAACCAGGAATTCAGTAATTAAGAACCGTTCTCGAACATGAACACATTTAAACCAATTCTCTTTCAAGACATTAATCACTAAATTTGACTATTCGATTACTAAACTTTCGCATGCAATTTCCTAGTCAAATTCGCATTACCAAACAAGTTCATTAAGTTCACAATGCGTCCTAACGTCAACTTTCGTTGGCTAGAAATACATTGCTCAATCCACATTCTTTCAGGCATTCTATCGAACACTTTTGATGCATAGAAAAACCTAGAATCTACAACAGGGTGATCAATCCTATTCTAGCATTAAGAACATGTGAATCAAAGAACCTAGAGAATGAGATTCCTAATAACAATCAATCCATTAATCCATTGAATCTCCTAATTGGAACCCTAAAACCCAATTGGAGAACTACTCACACATAGAGAAAGAGAAAAGACAAATAGATATGAAAGAAAACATGATTCAATAAAATAGAAAAGGAATAGGGTTTAGAAATCTTCTCCAAGTGTCAAGAGGATGGATTCCTTTGCCCAAAGTTGTTTACAAACCAAAGAACAAAGTTTAGAACTCAAAAAAGTCAAAGATAATGTCTCAAAAGTCGAGCTTAGGGTTTTAAAACAATAGGAGACGAGCCGGGTCGGATCTGGAGTGACTCGGGTCAAATCTGGGCCAAAAATACGTCTGGGGAAGGGATCGATCGATCCAAAGGAGGATCGATCGATCCAGCAGTGTTTGGAACGTTTCTCATCCGTCAGGGAAGTGGATCGATCGATCCACAAAGGGATCGATCGATCTGGAGCTTCTGGTCTTCAGCTCTGCAACTGCTTCAAATGCTCGCCAGAATGACCTGTCTTCACTAATTCGGGTATAACTATTGAATGCACCGTTAGATTTCCTTCAAATCACATGGAACCTCAAGCTAACATCTGCATATAGCTTTTGTCAAAATTTCAGAAAGATCTAACGGTGGTAAGTGTTCCATCGGAGGCCAAAAGTTTGATACTTCTAACCGACACTGCATCTCCAAATGTGTGTTTTTATCCCAAAACATCTCGTTTTCCTCCAAAGCAACCTAAAACCTGTAAAGAATCGATAAAGGACTAAAAGACTCTAAAAACAAACTTTGACTCTATAAAATATATGATCTAGGAAAGAAAACAAAGACTCAAAACCGATAAAAACACAACATATCATTCCACATTGCTTGGGATTAAGATTTTTGGGTAGTATATAAAAGATGTGGCAATCCTTAACTCTTGAGCTAGCTTTTGGGTTAAGTTATGCCACATTCCTAATATGGTATCAGAGCCCAAGGTTGGCCCAACAAGCAAATTCCCACAAAAATGGTTTCCCACCTATGTGGTCCATATAAGTGGTATGTCTTGTTGTATTTCCGAGATGTTGGGCTTGGGTTGTTTCCCGTTGGACCGTTTTCTACCCACATCTCGAGGAGGCCTATTAGAATGTCCCACATTGCTTGGGATTAAGATCTTTGGGTAGTATATAAAGGATGTGGCAATCTTTAACTCTTGAGCTAGCTTTTGAGTTAAGTTAGGCCACATTCCTAATAGATCAAGATCCAAAAACAATGTCTTTTGATTATTTGAATGAATTGATGAGTGACACATGCATGCATATGAATGATGAATCTAAATATTATTCTGATTTTTAATTTAATTTATAAGTGCAATATAGAACGTCCATTAATAGTTTTAATGAACGGCCATTATTTTAGTTTTAATATATCTTGACTTTTTGTTTTCCCAAATTTATGTGGCAAAATGAGAAAATAAATATTTATTCGTTTGCTCCCAAAAAAAAAAATTATTTATTCACCCATCAAATTATTGAAAGTCATGTGAAAACCAATCTAAACTCTCGTCACTTGTAGTCTTGTACATTAAACAAGAAATTAGTTATCATTTTTATAATATTTTATCATCTAAATTACCAATGCTATGTTTCCAGAAATAAGATTTAAAGTTTTGCAGGTCTACTAGAAAAAAATGGTGTGATAAAATTTTGTTAGGTTATAATGCTACAAAATAAAAATCAGACCATAATCTCTCCCAACAAAATATCATCACAGAATAAATAAATTGTACACACATATATAGACAATATACAGACAGACACACAATTAAAACACACGTATTGAATCATTATTTGCTTCGTCGAGCCTACTAGTCTTGTGTCTATGCGTTGCATATAGTATATGTATATGCATACAATTATAAATAGAGACTACACCAACACCAAAACTCTTTCATATTCAATATTTCTCATTTTGAACCCAAAAAACAAAAAAACAGAACAAGAAAAAGAATGTCGAGCAGAGTCCATGAAAGGGGCATGGAGATGGATGAGGAAGGCTCTACAAAGATGAAGATGAAGACGAAGGTTTTAGAACTTCCAACGAAGATCAAGAAGATTCTAAAGAGTATATGGAAAGTTGGAAAAGATGATCCTAGGAGAGTGAAACATGCTTTAAAAGTAGGAGTTTCTTTAACACTTGTGTCCTTATTGTATCTCATGGAGCCTCTCTTCAAAGGCATTGGAAATAGTGCTATTTGGGCAGTCATGACCGTCGTGGTCGTCCTCGAGTTCTCTGCCGGTAACTATAATATTTTGTGTTTTGTTTTTGATTATTAAGTGGTAGTATATAATAGTCTCAAGGTCGAAACCGTAAACTCGTTTCCGTGTTTAACTAGATTATTTGGTCATTTGGTTATATTTCAGCTCGAATGTTTTATCCATGGTCCATCTGTGAGAAACTCCTTGTTCATAGACGTTTATATATTGGCGAAAATAAAAAAGACGTTTATATATATATATATATATATATATATGGACTAGTCTAGCGTTTCGACGGTGATAAAGTTTTCAAATAATGCATGTACAAAGATTATTTGCTCATAACAATAGCTTAAAAAAAAAATAGCAAAAATGATTAGTGTATATTTTGTGTAATAAGTGATTTTAATGATGTAAATGGTGTTTAATTAATCCAGGTGCCACGTTGTGCAAAGGGCTTAATAGAGGATTAGGGACACTAATTGCTGGATCTTTGGCATTTTTCATCGAATTTGTCGCTAATGATTCCGGCAAGATTTTCCGAGCTATTTTCATTGGCGCTGCAGTTTTCATAATCGGTATGTACTCATATTCATTTATCACTCTTTCATAATTGGAACTCTAAGAAATGAATAATTTCCAAAACTTAATATCTATAACTCTACATTTGTTTTCGGTTTGTATTAGTTACACCCTCTTTTTTTTTTTTTTTTTTTTTTTTTTTTTTTTTTTTTTTTTTTTTTTTTTATGTATAACAGGAGCGCTGATAACCTATTTGAGATTTATTCCATACATAAAAAAGAACTACGATTACGGCATGCTTATATTTCTCTTGACGTTCAATCTAATAACAGTGTCGAGTTATAGAGTTGATACGGTGATTAAAATTGCACATGAGAGATTCTATACTATAGCCATGGGTGTTGGCATTTGCCTACTCATGAGCCTTTTGGTTTTTCCTATTTGGTCTGGTGAGGACCTTCACAAATCCACCGTCGCTAAGCTCCAAGGCCTCTCTTATTCCATTGAAGGTATGTACTTAAAATATTATACATTCAAAAGAGATTGCTATATATTACTTCAATCTCATCCGACGTGAAATTTATAAGCAATATATAGAATTTTTTTTGGAATCAAGAGATATAATAAAACAGAGATATTTTGATCATAAATTAGGAAATCTTGCGAATTTCGATCATTTTTTATTTCGTAATGATACTGCGATATGTTTGTTTTTAAGTGCAAATTTTCTTTTATTTTGTTCCAATTAGTTAAGCTGATTAAATATAATGGTATTTGTTTTACTAGCATGTGTGAATGAGTACTTTGAAGAGGAGGAGAAAAACGAAGAAACATCAGATTTATCAGAAGACACTATCTATAACGGATATAAGACTGTTTTGGATTCCAAATCCGCCGATGAAGCACTTGTGAGTTAATTTATATGGAATTATTTTTTCAAAACTCGAATAAACAAAATTTTGAATGTATATGAACATGTGTATATAGGCAATGTATGCAAGTTGGGAGCCAAGACACACAAGACATTGTCATAGATTTCCATGGAAACATTATGTTAAAGTTGGATCTGTTCTTCGTCTGTTTGGTTACACTGTTGTTGCTCTTCATGGTTGCTTAAAAACCGAAATTCAGGTAACTTTTAAAACTTTCTTTATTTATTTTGAAACTAGAAATTAAATTAAATTAAATTAAATTATTGAATAATTGTGAGTACATAAATTATAACCTATAGTTTAGTTTTTGTATATATATTGATATATAATATCGATTATGTTATTTTTCAAGACTCCGAGGCCTCTTCGTGGACTCTTCAAGGATCCTTGCGTAAGACTAGCCGGAGAAATCTGCAAGGTTTTGTCCGAACTCGCTGCAAGCATTAGAAACCGACGTCACTGCTCGCCGGAGATTCTTTCCGACAGTCTCCAAGTGGCATTACAAGATCTCAACACAGCCATTAAATCCCAACCTAAACTCTTCCTCGGCGCTAACCAAACCGGCAACGTTTCTCAAGGCAATAGCGGTAGACATAACCCTAACGTTGCAGTTTCACAACACATCAATAAAGACACAAACGATGCTGCTTCACATCAAACCGTATCACGTCTTGAGCAAAACACTGGAACACCACGCGGGGAACGCTTGTCACGTTTTGGACCAAACGTCTCGTTTTCTAGATTGAGGGCTGATACGTTAGAACGGAGATCCGCTGCAGCGATTAACGAGAGGAAGATCCTGAGGCAACAGTTGAGCAAGATTGTGGTGATGACGAGTCTTGAATTCTCTGAGGCGTTACCGTTTGCTGCGTTTGCGTCACTTCTAGTGGAAATGGTTGCTAGGCTTGACAATGTGATAGAGGAAGTGGAGGAACTAGGAACGATCGCCTGCTTTAAGGAGTATGATAACAACGTTGATCAGAAGGATGTGGAGGTCCGAGTCGAGAAACCGGTTGATCTAGTGGTTGGCGTAGAGTGAAAATGCTGTTGCGAACAGTTTTGGTTTGGACCATATCCATGTCGCTAGTAACCAACATCATGATCTTTAAAACTATTTTTGGTTAGGTGGCTAGCTAGCTATACGTACTACACCAATTGAGCTACATATTCCGGGTTATAGTTTATGATAAGATTTAGGAAGTTATAAATCGAACTAATCGGTATGATGAGATTTGGCTTTATGGTTTGATTTGATTTGGTTTAGTTTTGATGTGATCGATTCTCTTTTTGCAATGCTGGATATTGATTTTATCGGTACTTATATTCGAAACATGTAACATGCATGAGGTTGTAATTTTCAAGGGTTCGCTAAGAAAAGTTTATGCGTATCTCTTTCTGCTTTGTGAAAGTCATTATTTTTGGTAAGTCATTTGTAAAACCAGAGACATCTTCTACTCCACTCAAATGCTATTTTGGACCAACTGAAAAATGTATTTTCTCAACGCTTATTAATACTTTATATTTAAAAATATTTACAAAATAATGAAGGAAAATAAAATATCACAAATATATAAGCTTCTTAACCGACTAATGAAAAAGATGTAACCTTTTGGGGGGTTCTTAGATATTTTTAGCAAGCAGCTACAGTACTTCACATTTTTCCTTTTTACATAGTTCCATTTTAAACGACAAATTATATAGCATGTTTTATTGGTCCCCCTTTGTATAAGTGAATCATCGATCCCACACCAAAAAAAAAAAAAAAAAAAAACAGCTTCAAAATTATACTTTAGCTTCTATTATAGTTGTAGATTTTAAGGGAGATAAAGGTAGATGTAAACACTCTATACAAATCTTTCCTTTTTTTACAATAATTTTAGGAGCTTCTAATTATTTATATTTTAAATATCGTTTAAAATTTGAGTTTAATTGATATATTATATGATTAGTAGGATGTAACAGATTAACTAAATGATTGAATAGCGAAAACATTTTAGCTAGTTGAATAGAGTTTCCATAGAATTATAACAAAACACTAAAAATATAATTTTCGTATATTAATGAAGTTTCATTTTTCCTAATTCCATATTTTTAAAACATGAGAAAAATTTAACAGAAAACGTGAAAATAATAGATCATTGTTTGTATAGTGGACGATAATTTGGGTTTTTATTACAGCTGTATAAGTTGAAGATTTTATTTTTTCATATTTTTTTTAACAAAATCATTCTTATCACGCTCATCAAAGTGTATAGAGGTTATAGTCTTATAGGTAATAGATAGTAATGTCAAAAAAAGGTTCAATAGTGTTTCCAACTAATCAATGTAGTAGAGAAATGAAAGCATCATTATTGTCCATTCATTTTGCGACAAATTGACATCCATTAATTTGTTTTCAATGTCGACTGCTTATTCATCAATTAAACACCGATTTTCATGGGAGAAATCCTATTAAAAATAAATAATTTTACATCTAAAGGGACCGTCCAAATCTTAAAAGAAAAAAAGTCTCTCATAATAAGATACTATTGATAGTCCGACTCTACAAAAATATGAAGGTTTGGGATTTATCTAGGGAAAAAATGCCAAAAAAATCCTCAACTATTTTTTTAATACCTAATTTTTTTCGGTTGGAAAAAAAAATACATATACTAATTATAACGTGCGAATTAATACTCAAAAAAATAAATATTGTTGTTTTCATACTCACGATTTCATAATAAAATTTTAATTCCAATTTTACCCTTATTTTCTTAATTAATTACTAATTTTTTATTTCAAAAAATCCGTTGGTTCTCTTCTAACCGGATTAAACTGAAATTAAAACCGGTTATCACCACCCCCAAATTTTGTTGTCGTCGTCGTGTTAATCCTATCCCTATGAGCTTTCTCAATCCAGCAAATCAACAAGCCAATTCTCAATCCCAGCTCTATACACTTTCCAGAGCTTCCCTCTTTCCCAACACTTGTTCACCCATTCCACCGTCTCTTACCTTTGCAAATTCTTCTCTAGAAACAAGGAGAAGCTGCTGGGAATATGTGGCCATGGTCCTGCTCCGCTCCTCGTTAGCTTACATCTCCACCCGTTTTTCTCTGCCTCTTTCTCTACTCTTCGAGTCCCCACAAACTACACAGGAAATAAACCGAAAGTTCGAAACTTTAAAGAAGCAAAACCCACCTCCTTGGAAACACGACCGTGGCGTCGGTGCCGAGCTCATTTTAGCAAGGACAGAGCAGAGGACGAGACACATAAACATGTAATTTGCGAGTGAAACAGAGATTTTCTATTCTAATTGTATTATCCTCTAGTTTACGATTGAATCAGAGATTTGTCTACTCTAATTTTTAGTTTCAATTAGATTTGCAAATTCTCTACAAAATGAAATTCTGAATTTAAAATTCATTCACAAACGAGATGATTCTCGATAAAATAGGTGAAGAAGAAGAAGTTGTAATTGGGTGAAGAAGTTATAATCTAAAGTTCAGGTAAATTAGAATCACAAGCTCAATTTGGTTCTATCTGAAACATCATCTATCTCGCCGGTGGAAAGCTCATCCGAGTTTCTTAACACCACGACGACGACAGACTTTGTTGGTGTTGTTAACTGGCTTTGATTCCGGTTTGATCCGGTTAAAAGAGAACCAAGAGATTTTTTGAAATAAAATTAGTAATTAATTAAGAAAATAAGGTTAAAATTGGAATTAAAATTTTATTATGAAATCGTGAGTATGAAAACAACAATATTTATTTTTTTGGGTATTAATTCGCACGTTATAATTAGTATATGTATTTTTTTCCAACCGAAAAAAATTAGGTATTAAACTTCCAAATAAAAAATAGTTGAGGATTTTTTTTCCCATTTATCTAGAAATCAATACAGATATTTGTAGACAGGTAGATAAAACAAAAACAAATAAATGAGATAAATATAGGGACATTATGTTAAGTTTTGTAGGCAATGAGTGAATTTGTAAATGTTGCTTATTTGTTATAGTGTCTTTGATTGGTGAACCAAATTAAAGTACTACACATAGTGCAGTTTTTATTTTTACCAATCACAAAAACTTTATCAAAAACGTTACAAAAAGTTTTACTCTCAGTATTTTTGTACAACTTTCTCGTACAGCTCTTTCATACAGCTTTGCACTATTCCGATAAAGTTTACAGCTCCAGCTAACAGCTAAAAAACTTGTACAGCTTTTGGTTACCAATCAGACCCAGTAAGTTTCATCACATTTTTAATGTGGTTTTCCTAACACGTTTTCTCAAAATGGTGATTTTTTTCCATTATATTTCTTATCGAATTCCACTCTAGAACCAAAAAATAAAGCATACTTGGAAGTTGGAACAATAAACTGAACTCTTCTAATATGTTAGGTAATATGGATTTATCATTCAAACTATTTGATAATTATTTTAAGTTTCATAACAAGTACAATGTTTGATCAACACACTAGAAGAGAAATGGTGTAAATAATAAAAAGGAATTCAACATGACTCAAAATGGAATAAATTTAAACGATCTTTGTCATTTTGGCCTTGAATGGAGAGATGAAATTAAAGTGGTTATAAAAAAAAAAAAAAAAAAAAAAAAAAAAAAAAAAAAAAAAAAAAGAAATTAAAGTGGTTCGTCCACAATAGCGTATGATCTGCTTGTATAACACCATTCACCTAAAAAAATCTGATCTGCTAATATTTAATAATAAAAAAAGAAATTGTACTGTGGCGGTACATTTTGTGAAGAAAGAGTGAGAACCACTTCCGGTCCTTGGACTTCTCATTTTTGTAGTGGTCTAAAAGTGTTTCTTCATTTATTTTATTATTTTATTATTAAACTTTTTGACAATCTTATATATCTATGTTTTCTTAATAGAGAAACAACAGTTCTCTTTAAGCTAATACAGTAATTTTTTTTTCCACATTATCTGATATAAAGTTAACTAGAAATAAACAGTATGAATTAATATATCATTTTGAAATAATTTAAGTACAAAATAATTCAAATCTGATTATTTCCATATTTTTCATGATGTATTAATTAAATATATATTATTTAAACATATAATTGTAAGTAATAGTATTTATTACTTTTTAAAAAATACATGTTCAATAATATGTTAAACTAATATTGTAAATTTATTTTGATATAATTAATTGTTTTTAGTATGTATAGTTTATATAAAATATTTTATTTTAAATTAATAGTTTTTGTAATATAAATATTTTATCTGTACTATCTGATATGCTTTCACTATTCAACACATATTTGAAAGTGTTCGAACCACTTGATCTGCTTTTAATCCGTCAGATCTGCTTGATCCGCTTTTGTTCTGCTTGATATGTTTGATCTGCTCCGTCCGATACGCTTTCTCCATTCAGAGCCTTTATTTTTTTTATGGTACGTCGGTGATGGTTCTTTTATCTGGTCATAAATTTAATTTATATAATATCTTTGTCATTTGAAACCCATCAGTCCAATCTCTCATCTTTTTGTAGTTTGTACCGTACAAACAAGATATATATATTGTTCTTATCCTCTTAAGGTAAGTGTATGTGAATCACATGGTCGTACAAAGATATTGAAATTTTAAAGTTTTTAACTTTTGCACATATGATAATGACAATATATATAATCAAGCAGAGGTGGTGTTGTACGTTGTGTATCGAAAGGAATGTTTACGCATTCACAACTTATTAACGGCTTATCACTTATTATGAAAACTATAAACTAAAATTTTGAAACAACATTAGAATCCATTATTTAAATAAAAAAGTAAACTTATGGTCCGATATGATTCTCTCTAGTTCACCCACTATTCTATATACAAGAAGCTAGCGTACAAGAAAACAAAATACCCTTTCACATTAATAAAAGATTATATATATTCTTTCATTAGAAGTAAACAACAAAACATAGAACTTGAAGTTAAATATCAAAGAAAAAAATGTGGAACAAGGTCGAAGCACGGAGCATGGAGATTTCCATGGAAGATGAAGATTCTAGAAAGAATAGAAAGAATGTTCTAAAACTTCCGAAGAAGATGAAGAAGATTCTAAAGAATCTATGGAATGTGGGAAAAGAAGATCCGAGGAGAGTGATACATGCTATGAAAGTAGGAGTTGCCTTAACACTTGTGTCTTTATTGTATCTCATGGAACCTTTCTTCAAAGGTGTTGTAAAAAATGCACTTTGGGCAGTCATGACCGTCGTTGTCGTTCTCG